TTCAGCTGGGCCCCTCTGAATAGTCCATAGACTCCCTCGGTAGGAGGGGAGGCAGGGGCAGAGCATCAAGTTTACAAAACTTTCAGGTGAATTAAGATAAGATGGCCTGTCAAGGCCAGTCAGGGAGCCAAATTCAGATAAACACGATTGTTTTGGAGATGGGCAGAACTTTTACTGACTTCTACCTTGAGTCTGTGTCGGTCCACTTGGTTCTGAAACGTCCAAATTAAATGGCCATACCAATGGACCGTGTCTGAGAGTAATCCCCGAGATCTGATCTATCCTGCCAACAGCAATTGAGTCTAGGCGCTCGAGGCACGATCCAAGCCATCATATAGGGCACGCAGCCTGACGAGGTCCAAATTTGCCGCCGACTACTTCTTTTTGATTGTAGATAAACCAGGAACCAGCCGAATCCAAAAAGTAGGAAACCAGTTATCATAAATCCACTTATCTATGCATCCTTAAAGTCCACGAATGACAGCAGAGATAGACACATCATCAAGTCTTCCAAGTCGATGAGATATCCAGCTGTGTGCGTGCCAACAGGGCAAATTAACTCACATAAAGCCTGTCTTCTCTTTGAAGAAATGTTGTCAAGTGCGATGAGGGACCAACTGACCAAATCCATAGCAGAATTAAGATTTTGAAGATTTGTAGAAGAGAGGCTCTAAGCAGTTTCACAGACAGGACAAAGCAAAGCGGAGAGGGAGAGGAGGAGAAAAGTGTTGGCCCTTGACAAGAGCAAGTGTTGATGTAATGGCAAGTTTTACCAAAATGGTTTTATCGCTTCTTGGGATGGCCTGTGAGATTTCGGATGTGGCCTTGTTACAGTTTTACAGCTACTGAATTCAAATTTGGTGGATAGTAGCAAATTTTGGGCAGCACGGTGGCGCAACTGATAGAGCTGCTGCCTCTCAGCGAGCAGGTCCTTGGTTCAAACCCCGGTCCAGGGGCCCTCTGGGTGGAGTTTGCATGTTCTCTCCGTGCATGCGTGGGTTTTCTCCGGGTACTCCGGTTTCCTCCCACAGACAAAAAACATGCATGTTAGGCTGATTGGTAACTCTAAATTGTCCCTAGGTGTGAGTGGGAGAGTGAATGGTTGTTTGTCTCGTTTGTCTCTATGTGGCCCTGTGATGGACTTGCGATCTGTCCAGGGTGTCCCCTGCCCCTCGCACAGTGATTGCTGGACATGGGCACCAGCGACCCCTGTGACCCAAAATGGAATAAGCGGGTAAAGATAATGGATGGATGGATGGATGGAGTAGCAAATTTTACGAAAATGGTTGTATTGCTTCACTGTACGGCCAGTGAAATTTTGAATGTGGCCTTGATGCCACCTCTTGTATTTACTATTAACATATTTAAAATCTTATTTATAGGCTAATCTAAAGACCTGTTGGGAGATGCTCACAACTTAAATTAAGCCATTGATTTTCCTTTCAGGCCTGTTTAGTCTGCACAAAAAAAAAAAGTCAAGTCATTCTTGTTGCAGCAACCTGAAGGTCAAATGCATTCAGATGTTGTATTTCAAGTAATCGAGTACCTAAAATATTACTAGGTCACATTAACGTGTCTTCATGTCATTCCTAAATTTTCACAATATTGTTTTCTGGATGATTTCTCCAAGTGCCTGTAAAGTTTTTATGAA